ATTGAACACTAAAAATCAATTGGATCTATTGAACACTAAAAACTGATGTGACACAAATACGTGTCTTGCACTTTCTTTGAGCGCCTGAAGTTGCTTAAATCTATATAGAATTCTTGCCGTGGAACCCTAAACCCAAAAACTCTCTTCTCTCTCTTTCTTTCAAGCGATATATGGCGTGAATAGCAGACATGGCTGCTTTGCCCTCTCCCCAGCCAATGGTTGTGGGAGAGACAAACGTCAACCCTAATACATGTCGTACATATGCTTCGGCAATCAACGGGAACCAACAATCTAGTGAGAAATCTCTCAAACCAGTCATTCTTTTACATGGAGAACCCACAGTGGTGTTTGACTCCAAAGAGATTGAAATGTTTATCATGGAAGAGAATTTAAAATACGCTCTCATTGCCAAATTCTCACATGGAAGGCCTGAACTTCAAGATTTACGGAAAATATTGCCTCAACAATTAGGATTTAAGGGTGAATATAACATTGGGTTATTAGAAAGTCGGCATGTACTCATGCGGTTCACTTTAAAGGAAGATTATATTGCAATCTTTTCAAAAACTAGTAGGTCGATTAAGTTCGCTGGTACTGTTATACCATTCAGCATCCAAAAGTGGACTTCCTCTTTTAGTCCTAGGGAAGAAACCTCCATTGCAATGGCATGGATTTCTTTCCTAAGTTTACCCTGTCAATATTTTGATCGTAATGCTCTGTTTTCAATGGTTTCGGCTATTGGACAACCTCTTGATGTGGATAGAGCGACCTATGATAAAACACGACCTAGTACTGCAAGGGTAAAAGTCGAGGTGAATCTTTTAAGGATTCTTCCAAAAAGAATTAGAGTTCAATTCAACGATTTAGTCACTAGTGAAATTACAAACGTATGGCAAAAAATCAGGTATGATTATGTACCATATTATTGTAAGAGATGTAAGCATCAAGGGCATAGAGAAACTGATTGTCAAACTCTCACCGATGGTCAAGTTGATACCATGGTTAGTGAAAATCATATTGAAGGAGAAAAATTTCAAGGAGATCTTCGTGATCATCTCAATGCTAAAAAAAATGATTTAAATAGCCTGGAAATTGGTGAAACGGATGAAACTGTTAAAGATTTAGATGTAGGGGCTGAAAAGAGTGGTGTTCAAGATCAAAATTTGGTGTGCCAAAATTCTGGCCAGCGCCTAAGCAAAGCAATGTTGGACGACTATTCTTCAGGGAATCAAATGTTATCCTTAATTCCTCAAACTGGTGAGTCTTCGCGGCAAAGTTGTAATTCAGTTGATCCTGTTGGAGTTGAAGAGCAACTCGTTGTGCATTCAAATCAACAAAATAACAAATCCAAGGATACACAATTTGCACAAAAAATTAATGAGGTAAAAGATAATGAAATTGTTGCTGAAAATTCATGTATGAGGCAAAGTGATAAGCACACTCTTGGGGAACTTTATGATGCTATACAGGCGATAGAATCTGATGCGCCACTTGAGAATTTGGCAATTGATGGAAAGGAAAAAATTGCAGAATCTGAGCGTGGTAATTTGAAACCTTTGGAAGCTACCGATTTGCAAATTGAAATTTCTAGTTGTGATGAGAATGCAACTGGGAATTGGAACACAATGGCACAAAAAAAATCAATTTCTATGTGTATTGGTTCCTCGGCAAGTCGAAGTAAATCTCCACGTCTTGAAAATAAGCAACAGGTAACTACTAATCTAGTAGTGCAATCTAATGGATCAAAGGACATTGTTTGTACAAATCCGTTTGAAGCACTCGGGGTGGAAAAGGAATTAGAGTTAATTGATTTTAATCCCTCGAAGGAGAAAACTTTGGTTCGAGCCGATCCTGATAATAATATACAATCAGTTAGCACACCAATTGGAGTATGTAGCATGCAGACCGACAAATATGGTAATGTTATGAGTCCTACAGTAGCTAAGGCTATTCAAGAAAGTCAGGCTGTCATGTTACTCAAACCAATTCAGCGATCAAGCCACCCATGGTGACATTGAGCATCTTAGCTCATGAGGTCACTTCCCAAAATTTGGATTCACCTGATGAACATCAAGGTGAATTTGGACAGCTCTTATCATCCACAGGGAATGATAAAATTTTGGCGAAAGGTATGTCACCACTCTCTCAAGCTAATTTTACAAATGATTTGTTAATTTCGAAAGAAAAACAACAAGGGGAGATGAGTACTCCTAGGTGCGCTGATTTGGTTGATGAAGAAGGGAATGCTTCACCTCCTCTTTTATAGAAAATTGAGTCCACAAGCTCTAGAATTTGTACCTAAAAGTACAATTGCAAAGAAGAATGAACACGAGGCCTTAGCATCAAGATTTAGTCCAATTAATGCTTATGCTAGTGATTTGGGTGATGATTCTTTTGACGAGGGTGAGGACAAAGATGAGGATATGTTGGACATATGCTTTGATAAAGTGGCTAGAGATGGGGATATATCACCTAGGCATCAAAGAAGTGGACGCAACAAAAACAAAAAGAAGACACATGGAAGACAACACAGTTGGGATGGTAAAGTGACAGGAGAGTTTGTTCCAAGGCACCTGCCGATGCGACTGGCAAAGCAAAATCATATGACAGTGTCAATAGCTTCAACAAGATCCAATACATTTAAAAAGCAATGATGAAGTTATAAATTTTGTTGGCCATATTTGAATAAGAAGACAAGAGGAAAATACTTCAGGTCACTTTAGATGGGCTATCTATCATTTTAAATTCACACATTTGTAAAAGTAAGTTTGAGGTTGATAACTCAACTTTCTTCTTGGATTTTATATTTGTGCATTATTTAAGCATTCTCATTTGTAATATCATGATAGATTGTATTACGAATTCTGTGATGATCATGGAATATCTAGTTCTCTCTAGCTCTTATTTTTTCTTCATGCTGGTTAATTAGTAGAGGTTTGTTACCTCATAGGATTGACAAGGTAAGGCCTAGCCTCCCTTGCTTGTACTTACTTCTGTTGAGGATTTTTGTTTAAAAAAAAAAAAGATTCTGCAACTTTAAATTATTATTTCAATATTTAGCAATATACTTTGATGTTATTTTCTCGAAAAAAAAAAATCTTAAAAATAACTGGTCCTTTTTAAAATTTCTTCTCTTTCCTCATTTTCTTTTCATGGTTCATGTTCTCCTCTCTTTATTTTTGGCCTTATCTTTTCACTTTTATCTGTCTATTCACGATTTTATTCCATTAGCGTTGCTCCTTTTCTCTCTTAATTCTTAGTGTGTGTGTGTTTTTTTTGTTGCCTTTTTCCCACTAAGAATACACCATCAAAATCACATTAATTTTCAATGGTACTCCCAATTTTATTATCTATAGATGTTATTTTTTTAAAAATTTAATTGTAATATGAATGTGTTCAATAGACATAGTTCGACTCCAGTTCAAGTTTTCAATAGAAATAAGATTTAATTCAGGTATCAAAATTAAAAAAAAAAAAGGACAAATTCAAAAGGCCACATATGTATTAAGCCATTATAATAACATGCATGAACGGAAATCTAGATAGTACTCCAATATCATAAATTATTCGAAAGACAAATTGTAGTACTTATATATTCTTTAATATGTACTTTATATGCAAATCATTTTTTTACTATACTAAGTGAATAGCTTGAATAAAATTATAAAAATATACTTAAGCTAAATAAAACTAAACAATTTATGTTGACAAGACCTCTTCTTTGGTATTCATGTGCAATTTGCTTCTGCAACTTGTTTCATAACATACACTACCTTTATATCGGTTCAAATTTCAAAAAGTTGTGTGTTTTTACTTTTTACTAGGTAGTAAAGTTAATCAAATAAAATATGTTATCTCTTAATTATATTCATTAATTTTAAGTAGAAAATATTTGGGAATGATATATTTTATCCGATTAATTTAACTATTTAATAGACGAATGAAAATAAATATATATTCAAAATGCAAATATAACTTTGATTATGTTATTAATTGTTAACATAACCGAATAGAGAAAAATCAAACCAAACCAAATTTATTTTGATTTGGATTGAGTTACACTTCTCAAAATCAAAAATTGAAAAGTCCAAACCAAATAGTACAAAACCGAACCGAAAAGCTGAATGCACACCCCTAATTCATATTTGACCAAATCTATTTATATATATATATATATATATATATATATATATATATATATATATATATATATTAATGGAATACAATCTAATTCATTTTCAATCTGATCTAATTCACCCATTTATCACCTTCAAAGAAACACAAAATGTAACTTTAATATCCAAATTGATTTGTATTCCTATTCATTTCTACATTAATAAATATATAAAGGGAAATTCAAACAATTGCTAAGTTTATGAAAATCACTTAGCCATTAGACTTGTATACTAGAATCTTGATGGACTTGTATATTAGAATCTTGACAAAGAGTTATCTAAGACATATATATATATATATATATTTATGAAAATCTCTTAGGTCTAGAACCATGTACAACCGCATATAAGCATGTTGTCTACTAATTTTGTTAATGAACTAATATTTGTGACTTGATTAACAACACTTACATAAGATAGAGAAGTTTGACACCTAAAGGGCATAAATTTCAACTCAATGAACCAAAAGGGAATGTCCTTAAAAAATAATTGTTCGCCCAACTTTGGGCAATCTAAAACTTACATTAACGTTCTTCAACTACCTCCGTTTGTTCTTTTTTTTTAAAAAAAAATAAAAAAATAAAAAAATTAGTCATTTGGTTGGGAACAAGTTATTTATCTCATCACTATGATATAAATAATCGAATAATAAATAATCTAAAGACTATCTAATACCTCCATTCATATTGTAAACAAGCTGGATTGGGCCTGAACGTTGTTTGGGCTTTATCTATTTGTTGCGAATGATGTACTAATTCCGACCCATGATGACTTGGGACGTCGTCGTTTTGGTATTGCCGGGAATTTCTTCGGTTTAATGGCAGCTGCTAAGTCCAAATCATGGAAGAGACAATTTGATTTGTATATGTATGTTACCAGTGCAGTGATGAACAAGAAAGGTCTCGCCATTCTTATGCGAACCAAAATGCGACCTCTTTCCCCTACCTTTGCCTCTGTAAGCTTTACTCAATTCCTATTTCCTTCTTTTTGCCTAATTTGATTGATTAATGTCTGTATTGAATTGAAAGCAGAGCAAGAGCAAATTGAATCAAATGCAAACCTCTCAACTGGAAGGTGATAAAGTTTCTTCTCAGGATGCTTCACTTCTTCCAGAAAGGTTTTTTTAATACAGTCATCTGTTTTAATACAATTTTATTGCACTTTTATATGATATGTAGTTTGATAAGCAGACTACAATTTCATTTCATTCTTATTTGAAGTCTTCTGGTCAAGTATAGCTTCTTAATGTTAGGATCAACAATTTTCAATATGATGATGGTTGTTTCACCTTGACGGTGTAGTTTACTCGTATGAGGTTACGTAGCTTCTCTTTTCGGGAACAACAGTTCGTTTTAAGTGTGACTTCATAGTGCAAATGTCGGTGTAAATTAAACCCATCAAAATCAGAATTGTGAGATTATTTTTTTTCACAGAAATAACAAAGAAAAAAAGAATCATCTTTTGGGAATTAAATATAATGGTTCAATTTTCAGAGAGTTTAGCCAAGTACGGGAGTCAATGCACTCAGCCATGTCGACAAACAAGACAGAAATTGTGGATGTTGCTCTGGATGAATTTTCAGAGGTGAACTTTCACCACGGCATGAAATATTCTGTTGTTACTATTGATACTCTGTTTGTTGTCAAGTTAGCAATAGTTGAACGTTAACTTTGCAGGGATACTTTTTCCTTTCCCCAGAAAATCGTTATAAGATGCTTCTTTCACTTGCCAAAGAGTATGATCTCAATCGGACCCAAGTTCGCGAGTTAATGAAGCAGCATCTTGATCTTCAGCTACCAAGTGGTGGGTGTTTTTATTCTTATGAGAGTGTATTCTTCGTTATGTTATTTTGTTAGTTGGGCTTAGAAGCTTAGAGCTTTGGCAGATAAGGCTGAAGATAGTGGTCATGAAGAAGAAGGATCATTATCAGCTTTCTACAGGATTGAGCGGAACTTGAGGCAGGCGCTCAAGCCTATGTATGAAGTTCTTTTTGAGCGTCTCAATACACATCCTGGGGGATTGAAGTTCCTGTCTGATATTCGAGCTGATATTCTTTGTCTTCTCGGGTAAGGTTATGTCCCAAATGAAATGATCTGTCTTTTTCTCATTTGTGCACACACTGTGTATTGATTATAAGATCAAGGGGAATCTCCTGATTCGTTGGAAATGTGTTTTTAATTTCTATATTTACTTATACCTATGAAACAGGAACTTCATAGATGGTTATTCAATGAATTTGCAGAGACGTAAATATAGCATCTCTGCGAGCATTGGATTCCCACCTAAAGGAGAAACTGATTACATGGCTTAGTCCTGCTAATTTGGAGCTTCACAACATTACATGGGATGATCCTGCGTCTTTGTTGGAAAAAATTGTTGCATATGAGGTACTTCTTTTTTTTCTCCTACTTTGCGTTCATGTATTAAATCATAATATATTTTTCATTTTTGTATATATTTTTCTTGTACACAGGCTGTGCATCCAATAAGCAATCTTATAGATCTGAAAAGAAGGCTAGGAATAGGTCGCCGCTGCTTTGGGTACTTCCATCCAGCAATACCTGGTTAGTAAGCCCTGTCTTGGTTAAGGAGTTGAACTCTACTTAGAGTTCTGTTTCCTGTGTTGCCCATGTGTTTCATAATTGAAAACGATGCTTTATGTGAGTGAACATGCTGAGATTACTAGATCATGGATTTGGATCCTTTCTTATGAGATATTCAGCATATGATCTTGTGTTTAGCCATGCTGGTCAAAGTTATCAGGTGCAGATTTATGCATCACTTTCTGAAGCAGTGCATAGGAGGTGCACTTTTTCTGGAATCTGAAGTGTGGATTTGTTAGTATCAGAAATAGGGAGAGTTGGCCTTAAGGCAGTCTGTTGAACTTTTATAACAACTTGTGGTTGTTAGTACTCAAAACTGCCGAGAAATTTTATGTATGCAATATAAGATATATTTATCAAATCAAAAGTAAGAGTAGCATATCAGGGAGGCTTTGATGATTAGATCCAGAAGTGCGAGAATGGCTGTCCTAGTTCAAGAAACATACTGGACTTTTTGTCTTCAGATATGGTTCACCAATTCTTGAGGTTTGGCATGAAAGAAGAATTGCTCAAATCAGATCGTCATACTTGTCTATCCATGCTGATAAAGCATCTTGTTACTTTCTTCTTAATAGAACAAATCAAGCCTAATGTTGTTTTTTGTTCAGGTGAACCACTTATTTTTATTGAAGTTGCACTTATGAAGGATGTGGCAGCAACCATACAGGTGAAAGTCTTGACTTTATCTAGTTTAACCTTGTCACTGCTCACTTCCATTAAGGACTCTCTAATCATTGCAGGAGGTCCTATGGGACAATCCACCAATTTCTGAACATGAGGCTTCTTGTGCAATTTTTTACTCTATTTCGTCAACTCAGGTACATTGACCATCGTAGGTTTGAAGAGCTCTATATTTCTAAAGGTAACGTTTGAATTAGAAAATGGCTTGGGGTTTTATATGCTCTCTTTCTTCTTTTTGGAGAAATAAAAATGAATAGTTGGATCTGGTTTTGGAAAATTGGATTTGTGTTTGTTATTGATGGAAAATTCCCCTGAGATTAGTATTACTATTTAGTATCTGTGTAGTATCTTATTCTTCAATTTTACTACTATTTGCTTCATTTACTTTGTTTAACTTGCTTTTTTGCTGTTGCTGTTTTCCTTTCAATCCTGCTTTGATTTTACTTATTTTGAGCCAAGGGTCTATCAAAAACAACCTCTCAACCTCACAAAGGTAGGGGTAAGGTCTATGTACATCCTACCCTCCCTAGACCCCACTCGTAGGACTACATTGGGTGTGTTGTTGTCGTTGTTACTATATGGATGAAAGCAAATATTAAACTTATTTGGTGGAACTATTAATTCTTTTCTGTTGAAGGAAAAACATTCTGGGTGGAACAAAAAGAAAGAACAAGGGTTAAGGTAAAGTTAACTCTTTTGGTCACTTTCCAGATGCAGTGCCCTTTTTCAGCCCAAAGATACCATTGGAAGTATTTTTGGGTATCCAGTTGTTTTCGGAAGCCAACTCCCACATTGTTTCTGAAGACAACTTGTTTCCAAAGTTGGATAACTCTTTATGCAAACTGGGAATGTTGAGATTTAAGTGATGCAAGACAGAAACTTAATGCAACTTGCTTTTTATTAACAAGCAAAACTCGAATTTGCTATGGCCTCCAAGGAATTGATACATGCAACCTTTTCCACCTGTCACCCCTTGGCTGGGGAAAGTTATTTCCTTCTTTTAGAAAGATATAGTATTGTAGTTCCCTATTTATCCGAAAAAAGAAATATATATAGTTCTTCAGTTCTAGTCTGAGTAAGATCATTGTCTTTTTCTTTAAGCACCATGATCAAATCAACAATGCTCACTGGAGTAGGAAAAGGAAGTACTCCATAAGAATTATACTTTACTGTTAAATACAATTTCTGCAGACATCTGACTGAAATCTTAAGGATAGCATCTTTTCTTCATTTTTACTGCTTGAGTAAGAAATCGTTGAGTTCAATCTAGGTTTGGTAGTTTCAGTATTATACATTATTTGTTTGCAGAGAGAAAGTAACAATGAGTTGAATCGATTTAGAGCCTGTTTGGATGGGCTTATCAGCAGCGGATCCAGAATTTTCACTAAGGGGGTTCCAAAAATAAACATGTAGTGCTTGATATTTGATCTTGGTACCTCAAGATAAACTTAGAACCCCCTCAACCTCTAAGCCATCCTCCAATATTATGTTTAGAAGGTTCAAAATCTATATATATACATAAAAAATAATTAAAATACCTTATACACACCGTGTAAATTTTTGCCAAGGGGGTTCGGTTGAACCCCTGGCTACCCTCTAGATCCTCCGCTAGGCTTATAACTTATGGTTTATAAGCATAAGTTAGGAATCCTAACTTGAGACTTTTGGCGTATTTTTGTTATTTTGGCTTAAAAGAAAGTGCTTAAAAACATTTTTTTTAATCTTACCCGAACACTACAAAAGTGTATAAAAGTTATTTTGGCTTAAAAGCACAGGAAATAAGCCAATCCAAACAGGCTCTTAGTATTGGCCTGCAGGTTTTTCTATTTTCTTCTTCCTCATATTCTATTGTTTTGATGATGTCCTTTGTCTAAGAGAGTATGTTATTCTTTTCAACATGCAGCCTGGCTTATCAGGGATCAACCTGGGGAAGTTTCTCATCAAACGTGTGGTTGATGTGGTGAAAAAAGATATGCCCAATATCTGTGTAAGTTACGGCATTACATCTAATGCAGTTTTTTGAGCAGCTAATATGTAAACTTCCTCTGTGACTTGGAATTAAAATGTTGAAAAGTGAATGCTTTTGTAGAACTCTTAAAGTACTTGTACCAATTCTCTCTCCTTGAGATGCAAATTCCAAATCTCTATGAGGAGAATACAATTTTAGCAGAATTACTAATTTAGTGAATATAAATAATTTTCTGTGACAGTGTTTAACTTGTCCTACTTGAACAAGACCCAGCCCTCAACTTCCACAGCACTTCAGTATACAACTTTAGATGTTAAATTGATCTGGATGAATTCTATGGTGTTTTCAGGTTTCATAATTAAACATTTAGTTCTTTCTTGAACAATATGACATGCTACCATGATCTCGCCACTTGTTTACTCACATGTAAGGTTTCCTGTGAAATTAATACACAGACCTGGTCTGCAGGTATTCGCTACTCTTAGTCCTATCCCTGGTTATAGGCAATGGATGTTATCAAAGTTGGCTTCATCAGAGATGACTGGTTCTGCCTTCAAAGAAATTTTGCTTAGACCGGATGAAGAAAAGGCACTTATGGATGCATCAGGGTAAGCGTGTATTTATGGCATTTTCTGGCTTGAGAATATAGAGAGGATATATTGTTCTAATTTTTGGAACCAATATCATGGGATTCATCACTCTTCTCTTTAGTAAACTTTCGCTTGGATTTTTGGAATGTGTTCTATCCTTTTTCCTGCAGAATGGTGAAGGATGGTTAATGGTTGAACCATGCAAAGTCTGTTCTAGGATAATTCCTTCATAAAATTAAGTGGAGCACATTACTATTGCATGTTTTTCTTCAGACAGAAAACAAATATGAAACAATCAACTTCATATTTAGTAGAGATTTCATTGTAAAAATATAGCAAACTCTTTTCAATGCTAAACACATTTGTGATTTTAGTTCCTCTGAGATTGTTGTTGTAACTTACCAAGGAACAAATTTCTTTGTCCTAATTATATCTCTTCTTTTGCAGAGGTTCTGACTTGGGAAGCAGTGGTATTGAAGTAATGTGGAACGTATTGACATCAAAAAACCATGAATGGACCAATTCACCTAATCTGGTATCTGCGTTGAGAACCCCTATGATGCGACTTTGTGCCAGGTATGCTAAAGCTAAATACTGGATGCATTAGAAAGCCTCTATCTAGAAGTGTAATGTGATTGTAAAAATTTGACATTCCAAAAAGATGTTTCTTTTATGTCAAGGATTATCTGCTTCACAATGATAAAAAGCCTGTTATTGCATTTATGGCTGTACAGTTTAGATACTGAAGTTGACATGCTTTTCAATCACGTGAAAGTTTGCAGTTCTTGAGATAATGTCATACATTGAGTTGCTATATTGTTGTTTGCTTGCTTGCAACAGGTACCTTATGAAAGAAAAAAAGAGAGGAAAAGCTCTAGATTCGGTTGCAAATTTCCACTTACAAAATGGAGCAGTATGTCGACCTATCCACATTATGCAGATTCAGTTATTACTTTGTTTTATTTTCAGTGAATAAAATTTAGGTACTTGCATAAAAAAACAAATCCCCTCTTTTTAGAATTAAGAGCCAACAAGAGAGAAGACTTCTGACAAAAGTTGAGAGACTTGTGACTTAGGTCATAGGTTCGAGCCCTGCGCCATGCGAACTAAGCCTCTGGTATTTAAGTGGAGAAGTATAGAGGGACGGGTCTGTTATCCCAAGTTTCGAAGGTTGAGGTTGGTCCTAAGGGTTGGCCTCAAATGGATTTCTCGGTCATAAAAAAAAAAAGAGAAGATTTTTCACAACTGTACAAGGGATAAATCATATGGATTGCTTATTCCTCTCTAAACTACTAGTGAGAAAGGTCCATAACTTCTTCACATAATTTTGATGAAGATAGATATCAGGGTCTCTATCTCTCAGATTATGTACTAGGATAGAAGACTAATATCTAGATGATGTCTGAATTTCAAGCATGTCCTGGACATTAGCCTTTCCAAGAACCTCTTTTCACCTAAACAGTACAACAACAACATACCCAGTGAAATTCCACAAGGGGGTCAGGGGAGGAGGGTAGAGTGTACGAGATCTTACCACTACCTCGTGGAGGTAGAGAGGCTGTTTCCGAAATACCCTCAGCTCGTGTGCAACAAATCCAAGTACAAAGCCAAAGAAAATAGTGTAGTAAACATAGCAACTAACACGGTGAACCAACAAAATAGTGTGATAATTGAAACAAAATAAACAACCGACGATGCGAGGTATCAAAAGTAAGAACTACAATAGTACCAAGTGATATCAGGTACCAAAAGCCAAAGACTACATAGAATAGGCTAATATGACGACTGACACAGTGCTCAATAGTACCACCCAGCCAAATACATGAAAAGGCTAGGAATACGACAATTCTTGACTACCTTCTTACCTTCTACCCTTATCCTCTACCTCCATACCTTCTTACTTGAGGTCATGTCCTCGGTAAGATGAGATGTGCCATATCCTATCTAATCACATCTCCCAATACTTCTTGGGCCTACCTCTACCTCTTCGTGACCCCACTATAACCAACATCTCACACCTCCTCAATGGGGCATCCGCACATTGCCTCTTCACATGCCCAAACCATCTCAGTCTCCCTTCCCTCATCTTGTCCACCATGGTGGTCATTTCTACTTTGTCTCAGATATTGACATTTCTAATAGTATCATTCCTAGTATGTCCACACATCCATCTCAACATCCTCATTTCCGCCACTTACATCTTCTGGACCTGCTGGGAGTTCTTGACTGGCCAGCACTTCGCCCCATAGGACAAAGTCGGTCTAGCCACAACTCGGTAAAACTTACCTTTAAGTTTTGGTGGTATATTCTTGTCACATAAAACGCCAGATGCAAGCCTCCACTTCATCCATGCCACACCAATACGATATGTGACAACATTGTCGATCTCCTCATTTCCATGGATCAGAGACAAAAAACAGAAATCTCTCTCTTGGAGACAACTTGTGTATCAAGTCTCACTTCCACGCCTGCCTCATGCGTCACGTCATTGAATTACACTCCAAATACTCTGTCTTGGTAATACTCAACCTGAACCCTTTTAGACTATAGAGTGTGTCTCCACACCTCCTACCTATTGTTAACTCCCCCACGAGTCTCTTCGATCAAAAACAATATTGTCTGCAAATAACATATATCATGACACCTCACCTTGAATGTATTGTGGCTATTCATCCATCACCAAGGCAAATAGAGATGGACTAAGTGCAAACCCCTGGTGCAACCCCATCTCAACTGTTCCGTATTCTGTGTCTCCTCCCACTTTTCTTACCCGAGTCTTGGCTCCCTCATACATATTCTGTATTGCCCTAATGTAAGCCACCAGTACACCTTTAGACTCCAAACATTGCCAAAGGACTTCTCTTGGGGCTTTGTGTAGGCCTTTTCAAGGTCAATGAACACCATATGCAAATCCCTCTTCCCCTCCCTATATTTCTCCATCAGTCTCCTCACAAGATGAATGACTTCAATAGTTGTTTGTTCAGGCATGAAACCAAACTGGTTCTCGGACCATTTTAAAAGAAGGGAAAAAGCTCAAATATGCCATTTAATTTTGAGAAAAGGCTCATCTATTCCATCCATTAAAAGTTTGGTTCATCTATGTCATTCCCGTTTGAGAAAATGGTCATCTATGCCAGTATTTGTAAACAAAAAATATTTTCGATTTTGCAAAATCATTCTTTACACGTGGTCAATTATGATTCGGCCACGTCAGTAATTAAATTATTTTTAAGAAGGAAAAGGCTTAAATATGTCATCGAACTTTGATGAAAGGCTCATCTATGCCATTTCAGTTTACAAATAATGGCATAGATGAGCCTTTTCTCAAACGAAAATGGCATAGATGAGCCAAACTTTTTACAGATGAGCCTTTTCTCAAACTTCGATTGCATATTTGAGCCTTTTTCCCTTAAAAGAATGTGTATGCTTGGGACTTCCGGAGGTAAGCTGAATGAACTGCATTGATGCCGACACTCTTTTTAGTGTCTGTTATACCAAGTTGAAGCTGTATAGATGAAAGCAACAACATTTGGCTGCAAGTAGTCTTGAGATGTTTAGCCAAACCATAAGACCTAAAACACTGAAACCTAATTATGAGAAGAGAAACAACTGAAGCACATCAGTTTATTCAATTATTAGAACTATAAATGCATTTATGTGGAATTTTGTGTAGTATAACGTCATAACTATTGCTGATAACCAAATGTGTTTGCAAGTTAGTATCAGGAATCAGCTGGTGGACATAAGGTACTCCAAATGTGTGCAAACTGACTTTTCTTCTGTTCAAATGCTTTGTTAAGATTAAGATTTGATATTTTGTTCATCTGTAGAAGCTTGTGTACAGATTTTAGCTTAAATTATTTTCTACTTTACTTTTCCTATTTATTATTGGATAATCATCCTGGTCTTTTAAAGTGGGTGTTACTATTAATCCATGAGACGTGAGCATTTCTTTTTCATGTTTGTGCATGGAATGAGAAAAGCACAGCAAGCCCCTCTGCATTTATTGTCAGTATTCCCCCCGTTTATAACTTAAAATATCAATTTAGATGATCGGAAGGCTAAACTGGATGGCTGATCGGTCACAAAAGGGCCTTACTCAAAGTGCAGGCATAATGGTAAATTACATCTACAGGTAGTACTTTTATCCTGAACAATCTTTTTTTCTTTCAATTCTGCTGATTGTGATGTTTAAATACATCCTGTGTTTTGACACCTGATTATCAATCTTTAAGTTGAATAATTTTGTTCTTCCAGCTTGACAAGGGTTATCCACATTACATATTAACATGAATGAATTGAAAAGTGACCTATCTATTTGAATATATAATGGGATGGTTTATGATAGGAAACCAAAATGGCTATATATAATTAAGTTACTGAATCGCTGATTGAAAATCATTTCAGGTTGGACAACATTGAAGATAGTGCTCAGGCATATCAGAATGAAGGACACATCGAATCTTCTTCTGATTTCAGAAGCTACATTGAGGTATGTTAGTGTTCCCTAAAGCTGTTACTGAGGTGTAACAGTTAGATATATAGCCCATCTCTCTCTCACATGATTCACCAACTATGCTGTGTTTGCTGCCTCAGGATGATAATGGAGAAAAGGCAGATTAGAAGGATTAGGAGAGAATCGTAACACTGTGAGTACAATATGAAATACACAGGTCGAAATGTCCATATCAAGGATTCATATGTTCTATATATATATATATATGGTACTCTGCAGCTCGTATCAATTTAATTAAAGCTATAAGCGCTACTCGGTCCTCTATTCATTTTCTGTAAAAAAAAAAAAAAAAGAGTCGCCTAGTGCCTTATTTCACATTGATGGTCATTATAATGGGTTATTTCCAGTGTGTACGACATGAAACTTAAAATGTGTCATTATTCGTCTCTATTGGAGTCAGCAATGCCTTATTTATCTGCTGGATTTCTTCATGATGGTTATAGGATGTTTTAACTCCTTTTGAAAAGTTATCTTAATTTTCACTCTCAAAGTTATAGTCTTTCTTGCAAAGAGAGAAAATTACGTTGTCTAACCTTGAAATGTCAATCTCCAGCAATTCATTTGGAAATGTTAGAGAGAACAGCTCAACTTAATGAAAGAATTAGAAACAGTGAAAACACTGTATTCTCTAATATATATATATATATTATATATATATATTGCGACTCATTCTTCTGTTTCTTATATGGAAGACCTTATCCTCAGTAACTGAATTCTTTGAGGACAATTAGTTTTGGCTTGATTTCTTGTAAGAGCGAATATCTGTAATTGGGATTTAATGATACAAGTTAAACAAAAATGGAAAGCAAATAGCTGGAATTGCCCATGAACAGCTTGCTCTAGATTCAAATGGAATCAACAGTGTATAGAAAGAAAAGAGAGGGAGAACTTGTTATTGATAATACTTACAACGTGCTTTAGAATGGAATGAAATCTACCTACTCATAGAATGAATGAACAAATGGAAAATATCTCGAAGTTAGTAATAACTAACTCGTAACAAACCTAACAGCTTGAATATTCACTTGACTTCACTTAACAGCCCAACTATCTTTTATCAACTAACTGATTCCTTGAGCACCAATCTGGCAAGTTACACTTTTAGGATCACATCAAAAGTTTCCACATTTTAATCCTTGAGGTCAAGGATTGTTTGAAGACGAATAATGGCTTGTCCTATTTTTATTACTAGTAAAATCACCCGCACCTTGCGCGGGAATTTAATATCACGGAATTTATAAAATAATACTTACAACCTATCAGTTATTAAAACTAAAACACTATATTTTCTTACATACAAGATTACATAGTAACAAACATTAATAATGTAAAGGAAGATGATAATTATAACATCTTATCATTTATCCTTCAATCAATCATCTTTAATTTGATTTTATAATTTATCCTTTTGATTCTAGGAAGTGTTACTATTTAATATTTTTGGGGAATCAAATGAACATCATATTAAATTTTCTATTAAATAAATAATCGTTGGTGAAGGGATAAATGTTGACACCCAATTTTGGACCTCCACAATATAAATTAACCATCATGCTTCTTAAATTTCAAACGATTTGAAATAACTGACTTTATAAAATTTAAAATATTTTCCAAGTCATTTCAAATAATTTTGTCATTTTTATAGTTTTTAAATTAATTTATATAGTCTATAAAAATTTGTATACATTTATTATATTTTATTAATATTCGAAAACCATCTCAAAAAGATTTTGTTAAATATTTGGTTAATTAGTTTAGTTATATAATAGTTTATATTTTAAATTATTTAGTTTATAATTAAGTTAATTATTTTATTTTGTTAAGAGTAAGAAGCTCATTAGTTAATTTATATTAATTCATCTTATTTAATTACTAGCCAATTTACTAAATAAATTCAATTTGATTACATTCATAATTCATTGGCTAAATTCGTATTGCAATTGACCACTCAATTCGGTTAAAATTGTAACTTATTAGCCAAATCCCTTAAACCCATTTGAGACCAAATTTTGGGCTTATTTCTTCAGTCCAACCAAGCCCAAATTCTACTCTAAATCCCAGCAGCCCACCAATTCCAAAATCAAATAACCCAAGCCCACCAGACTTCACCAAATACGTACAACAACAATACCCAACCCATTCAATACAACAACAGTACCAAACGACCCCTGAACGTTTTGGTCTTCTTCTTCACACAGTAAATGAGCAGAAACCCAGCATTGTTGTAACTAGAAACGAGTCAACAGCCCAGAAAATCGCGTCCAGCAATCCAGCGAGAACGAGCCCAAATCCAGACCAGCTCACTCGCGCGTCGTCTTTCTCTACCTGTACGAAGCTTGTACAACCAACAACTTTTATTCGTCCTTCGCAGCCAGGTAGAGTAATCTCAACGCCTCGCTCGTCCTTGTCTCGAGATCGAGGGCTCCCTTTGTTTGTCTGTTGCAATTTGTTGAAGAATGTGGATGAATTCGTACAGTGATCTCTTATCCTTTTAGATTTTGATTTGGAATTCAAATTTCTCTTGTTCTTAACTGATTACTCACCCCTTCTCCCCCAAAAAATCGAACCCTAGCTTCCCTCTATATAAACTCTCTTCTTTCTTAGTATTAGGGGTTGGTGATTTCTTAGTTTTGGTTTCCTAAAAAAATGATACATAAAAGAAACAGTGAGAAAAGTAAAAACAGAACAAAGTTAGAACATAGGTAGACAAAAAGAAAAAGTTAGGAAGATAATATCCCTAGCTAAAGTTTCTGGGTCTACTAGTTTGGATATTGATTTTTTTTGCCGGAATCTCTCCTTGGGGTGGTGGAATCGCTCTTAAGCTCGTCGGTTCCAGTTCACTGCCCCCGGAAAGGTAACATTCCTTTTCTGATTTTTGTTTTTATTGTCGTGAGTTAAGAATTGCTTGGTTTTCTAGTTTGATGTGGTGATCTTTCCACTCAATTGATGAAATGACTGTATGATTCTGGGTCGTATAGGGAATTTGAGTGTTAGAATTTTGGGATTTTTGACTGGTCATCAACTGTAAATCCATGGTGTAGCTCGTCTGCGATTCAAATGTTGTTGTGGGTTGGTAGGTCATGATTTTGTCTTTTATATATATATATATATATATATGAAGGTTGTTCTCATTCTCTGTTTATTTCAGCTAGTAGAAGTCGTATGAGTCGAGTTGTTTACTGCTTTATTTTCCTTTTCGTGATGTCTGCGCTTTCATGTATAGAATTAAGTATCTTAGTCTATCTGTTAGTATTTTGCATCTTTTAAATCTCGTTTCTAATAATATTGGTGGTATATTCCTTGTTATCTTTCATGCCTAGTTAGCTTATGATGAGTTTTATTGGGTTAAAGCTGAGTTTAAGATGAGTCGGAAAGCTATTTGTTTCAAGTTGTTGGAACATTTTTCTTGTGTTAAATTCTCACTGTCAAAGTATTCTGTTATGCTGATTAGTTTTTTTTTACTTATATATCCTCATCATTTTCACCCTTAAAACATGTTAAAAAAATGAGATTTTATTATATGTATCTAAGTTAGCTTCAACTCAATTGGTAAATGGCTATCCCTTTCTTCCATTCTTCATGTTTCTTAGGTGATTATCTCGCTGCCTAGAGTTACCAGTTTTGATAGTCCGAGCTATTTTTCTGCCTAATATTTTAGTTCGCTAAAGTTCGAGTTTTGTTCTTATGATTACTTGAAGCATGAATTTATTGTTGTTAGTCTTTCATGTGTATAGTATGCCGATCTCTTTAAATATAACATAAGCTGCTAGTAATTCGATTACACCTTATTTAGTTTTTCAGTTTGTTTATTTGAAATAAAGGAGGGGTTTGCGCTTAGTTAAATCCAAATGAGATGCATTTTAGCTTTTTCTTTCGAGTAGTTATTGTTCCCTGCTCTAAGAATGATCAACTTGAATAATTTTAATCCCTTTATTAGCATGTGTGTGGGCTCATCTTGTTTAATGACATTTGTATAAGATTAGATAGTGACTAGCTAGTATGCTAAATTATTATTATTAGTGTTATTATTATTATTATTTGGGTTCTTAAGTTTGGTTAGTATTATTTTTAGTTGTTTTGTCGCCTATTGGCAGCTTATAAATTTATTATTGTTGTCTTTATTTTTATTAGTTTGTTACATGTTTAGAGTTTCACTAATCACCTATTATGTGTTTTCGGATAAAGTGAATGGTATTAATTGCCTTCTAATCTTTTCTTTTACTTTCTTTTCATGTATATGAATCCATAATGTACTCTTTCCTCCTTGCATCTCCGAATTGAGCCAAAGACCCAATTTTCCTTCTGTTAAGTCAACTGCGTCAAGGGGAACCGAAGAATAAGTCCATGAATTCGGCATACATGGGTCGTAAACAAAATACAGGAAATTGGAGTTGAAATACGAGGATATACATCAATATACACCAAGTGTATATGTTGTATATATCTCATAATCAGGCCTAAAAGCCCATCCCTTTCTTTGATTTGTATTTTGTTATTTTGGGCCTAAGCCCCCTTGTATTTTAATTATTAATATTTTGTTAATTTAGGACAGGTGGAAGATAGGCCCAAGGCCCAAAGAAATCAGTTTTAGGATTAGTCTAGGACAGGTACTAAGTATTTGGACCCAAAACTGAAATGAGACCCAAGTACTGGTCCAGACGGACAGAAAACCAGACTTGGGCCCAAATTTCTCTCTCCTTATTACTTATGTCTTATGTTTGTTTAATTGTCATTATTTGCTTATTTGCTAGTTAATTCTAAAGTTATTCCCTAAACCAATTCTCCAAAAGATAACCACTTTAAATTGATTTACTTATATTTCCCTAAAAATTGAAAAGACATTTGTTTTCTTTCTTAAATTACTTTGAGATATTTTACTTAATTAATACCCTTATAATATTTTTCTTCCCCTTCAGAATGATTTTATGTTTTAAAATTGTTACTTTCTCAATTTTAATTAAGTTGCTTGTTTTCTTAAAATAGTTAGTCAAATAGTTAATTACCGGATAACCGCATATTAGCGAATGTTCTAGATGCTTTAATACCCTTTCTAGAACATTAATATGAACCTCGAACCCCCTTTTGTAATTTCATTAGATTTTCTATTTTTAATTTTTTGAAATAGTAGTTTTATTAATTTTTCTTTAAAAATTAATTGGCGACTCTTAAAATCAATCAAAATAATGTTTGTTAAATAAA